GAAACATCAAAGATAAATCTCAGCTGTGTTGAGGTCCTTTTTTTCTGGGAAAGTCTCTTGGCCTTGGCCTTTACAATTCTGACACCAATTCCTGTGCATAGGTTTTCTAAAACCATCGAGTAATTCTTTGATAACAGCTGGGTGTCATAAGATTCAACTCAATTCTGACAGTGTCTACTTGGAGATAGCATCAGATCTCACCGGTTAAGGGTTCAGTCTCCCACATGAGTCCCCTCTACTAATTCAGATGTCAATCACAAGTCCAGGTTATCAGCTGTGCTTCTGACCCACTGACTATAGAATGGAGGTGCTAGACTGGCACACAGAATTCAGAGAAACATTTTACTTACTAGATGGCAGGTTTACTATAAAAGGATATAACTCAGATACAACCAGATGGAAGAGATGCATAGGGCCAGGTATGGGGAAAGGGTTCAAAGCTTTCATGCTTTCACTAAGCATGTCACTCTTCCCCTAATCTCCATGTGCTCACCAAGCCTGTAGCTCTGCAAACCCATGTCCTTTTGGGTTTTTATGGAGGTTTCATTACAAAGGCACTATTTATTAAATCATTGGCCACAGATTCAACCTTTAACCCCTCTCTACCTCCTGGAGGATGGAAGGGCGGGATTGAATGTTCCAACACTTTAACCACATGGTTAGTTCTGGCAAAGAGCCCCCATACATAGGTAGTTTCAAAAAGTCTCATTAACATGACACAAGACATCTTTATTGCTTTCCTCACAGGAAATTACAAGGGTTTTTGAAACTCTGTGCCAGAGACAGGGATGAAGAAAAAAAAATATATATATAATCTTCTTATAAATTACAACATCACAACCTCTGATAGGCCCTCCAGAGCTTCTGCCTTTGATGGTCTAGAAGACCACATTGTCAGGCTAAAACCATACCTGGAAAGACATTTTCAGAGTAAGGTTTTCATGCAGTTTCTCTTCCCCATTTCGCCACTGTGCCATTTGGCCCAGTTTTTTGCTGCCTGGGGTCCTCCCACCATTTACTCTTTCCTGCACATTCTTTCCTCAGTTTCCCTTGGTTCTGCGCCTGGCTAGCCCTTCTCATTATGTCTTTGTCAGCTCAAATGTCTCTTCCTTGATGAGTGTCCTTCCTCTACCAGTCACCCTCAACCATTTTATTTCTTTGTTTGTCTCATTCACTGTTGTACCCCAGCAAGAAGCATACCTGCCACAGAGCAGGTACTCAATTAATATTGGTTGGGTGACTGAGTAAATGAAGGAATGACTGTCTAAAGGTAGAAACTGGGGGATAATCCCAGACACCTCCTTCTCCTTCATCACACCTCCAATTCATCACAAAGTCCAGACAGTGGGAAATGTTCTTTCAAAGGTACACAGTGCCTCCAATTACTTATTCATTAAGTCTCCCTCAAAAGAAGTCTAGCCTTGGCTGGGTGGCTCAGTTGGTTGGAATGCCATCCCTTACACCAAAAGGTTGAGGGTTTGATGTTTGGTCAGGGCACAGGGTTCCATCCATGGCCAGATTGTGTACAGGAGGCAACCAATCAATGTTTCTCACATTGATGTCTCTCTCTCTCTCATCTTCTCTCTCTAAGTCAATAAACATATCCTCAGGTGAGGATTAAAAAAAAATCCACTGCTTTTACCACTAGATTTTTAAAAATGGAAGAAACATTTTTATCATTTCTGGTTTGCAAGATGGGGAAATGGAGACACATGGGTGTGGTGAGGCTGCCCATAGCATGGAAGCCTCAGCGTCTTCTAGTCCTGTCCAATTTCTTGCTGCTCATCTGACCCCAGGGATAGAGTCTGAATCTGGTTGGCTTTCAGACAATTTTAGAGCTTCCATCTCCTTGACCCTTTAGATACAGTGCTGGACTCACTATGTGGCTCCTGCTCCAAGCTGCTGGTTGGGTAGGACCAGTCTTGGAGCCATTTTGGAGGGAGGGTCATTAAAGCTGAAGACATGAAGACACAGGTTAATCCTAGTCCCTCCACTGGTAAGCTCTTAGGTATAACAGGCCATATTAACTGCTACTGTAACCTAATAAAATGGAGATTTGGCTGCCAGCCACCACAAGAGCCAAACTCGTGAGGCAGGTGCTTGTGCAAAGGGAAAGAGGTTTTATTCAGGTGCTGCACAGCCTGGGAGAATGGTGGAATCCTGTCTGAAAGACCATCTTATCTTTCTGTCATGGAGAAATCCAACAGTATCCTCAGCAAGGCCAACACAAAGCCAATGTCCAGAGTTCCTGCTCCATTTTAAAGTATAGTCCTTTGGAGCCCACAGGCAGCTGCTAAGCAGTCTTAGTCCCCATCCAGGTAGCTTAGCTTGTTCCTGGCTGCTGTTCATTTCAGGTTCCCTCCTAAAGCCTGTGTGTAAAGCCCACATGGCAATGGGCCATGTAGCTGCTAGGGCCATATGCTCACATGCTCCTGAGAGAAAGAGCATATGAACTCACAGGTAAGTGCTTCACCGGGTGGGCAGGAAAGCTTCTTTGTTACCCTGAGATTATATTAGCTTGAGCTTGGGATGGACTGGGGGCTCCCTCAAAATGACCAATTAACTTCCCAGTCTTTTGCATGCTTCAGGTAGGTCCACCCCCCAACCAATCCCTTCTTTCCCCAGGCTAGACTGACAGGCCTCTTTGGTCTAGCACCTCCTCCTGTGTCATTTTGACTTCGATGGCACATGTGCCTGCCTTCCCCTGATCCCACCCCCAATCTAGTACCAGAGTAGGGGTCTTTTTTTTCTATTCAATTATCTTCCTAGCTTGTGGCATGCTCGGGGCCCTATCCATTGATATTTCTAGCTTTCCGCACTCAGTGTAGGAACCTCCCCCTGCGCACATCTTGACTGATGGGAGAGAGTCCCCCATGCTCCAACTGACTGTTTTATGGTAACAGTGCAACCTACAGACCCAGGTATTAGTGGTTTAATGAAAAAATTTGTCAACCCACCACAGACCTATGCCAGTTGGCAGGTTGGGCATGGGATACAACTTATGTACCCCTGCTTCACAACTTTATGGGGACCCAGATTCCTTCCAATTTGAGACTCTGCCCTTCTCCGGCCTTTGAAGTTTTCACCATTAAGCCAGCATATGGCCAAAGAGTGTGGAAGATTGCCCAACAAATGCCTGGACGTAGCCAATATAATTTCTGCCCAGATTCCATGGGCCAGAAAGCAGTCAATGGCCTCGCTAAGTGCAAGGGAGTCTAATAAATGTAGTCCAGATGAATTCCCAGGTGAAAAAGGAAAATAGCTTGGTAAACACTAGGCAGGTTCTGTCCTTCCCTTGCTCAGGATTTAACTTACAAGTTTCTTTTTCTGAGAGGTCTCCCTTGACACACCCTCACCACCAAGTCTAGGCTATTTTATTCCTGTTGGCTCCCTTTATTAATATCTTCTTTCCCTGGCACTACATTTACACTGTGATGATATTGACTTGTAACCTCCTTTAGACAAGGAGAGCAGAGAATATATCTGGCTTTTTGATGTGCAGTGCTTCTAGTGCAATACCTGGCACATAGCTACTCAATTAATATTGATTTAATGACCTTCTCTGGGACAGTTTCCTCTTCTATAAGATGAGAATACCAGCCAGATAGGACTGTTGTTAGTATGTGTCTTATGTGTGTATGCACTTAGCAGTAACTTTTTCATCAGTGAGTGCCATGTGCCTAACAAACATAAGTGTCCTCTCCCCACATCTCTCTCCTAAGACTTCATCTTGTGCTGTGCAAGCCTCTTGTCAAGTGGCAGCACATGGCTCCTATCCCAGTGTGTGCCCTCCTTGTTCCTGTGCTGCAGGATGGACTGGGTTGTGTCTGCTCATTTCTGGAACCCTTCTCCTAGTGCAGGGCTTGGACTACAGGAGGCATCAGGGAGCACTTACTGCAGGCTTGACTGTATCAGAACATTGCCTGGCTCATTACAGAGTGCGAACTGGCTGTCAGCCAAAATATAAGAAATTTTGTGCTTGGCCACCATCGTGTTTAAATTAAAAGTAAAGTAATTGCTGACATGTAAAAGTCAGATTTCATATACAAATACTGTTTTTTCTTGAAAAATGATAAGATCAGGCAATGTTGGTATCAATTGGTATCTATTAGTCCTGCCTGGTATCAATTGACTGAAGCTGAGCAATGGCTTCCCCTTTTAGACTGGACATGCTCCCCAATTCTCCATAGCCTCTACTACCCTCTGACATCTTAAACACTGTTAATTTCTCTTCTTTGAGTTATCTGCCTGGCCCCGTGTAGACACTTAAATCTGTTGGTGACAACCCTTTTAGTGATTCTAGACACTTTGAGACTCTAGTGAGAGTTATGGACTCTCTCTCCAGCACATGCACATAAACAATATTTTACATAAAATCTGGAGCTTTGTAGCCCCTCCTAAGGCAGGCTATAGACTCCGAGGGTGGGAATTCCTGAGTCATTCTCTCCTATTTTCTAACACTCTTTCCCGGATTTCCCATAGCTGGTTCCTTCTCAACCTTGGAGCCTCAGCTCAAACAGCAACTCTGACAAGCCTTTCCTGACCATCCGTTGTAAGGTAGCTGTCCTCCCTTCCCCTGGCGTTTTAGTCATTTTTAATCTCTGCTTTTATTTTTCCTAGAGGGCTTCTCACTCTCTGAACCGGTCTGGTTCAATCATTAGTTCACTTACTTGTTCGTGACCTGTATCCTTACCCCCAGCGCAATGAAGAGTGCCTGCCTGGTATCATGTTGAAGTGAATGGGTGAGTGGCAGGATGGATGGATGGATTCCCCAATCTCAGCCTCCCCCAAACATCAGATAGCAGCCAGGTGGGAGAAGCCCTGTGGTCGGTGACCTCGGTTGAGTCTGTTCCCTGGGGCACCCACCTCCTTCGCGGTGTCTGGGGGTGCCCGCAGGTGCCTGGAAAGCGGAAACTTCGGGCCCGGAACTGGCGTGCCCGGAGCGCGGGTGGCGGAGGGGGCAGCTTAACGGGTCGGACTGTAGCGGCGGCCGCAGGAGGGGCGAACAGGCGAGTGTTCGAGGTGGCTGTGGCATGGCAGGGCGGCGGGTGAACGTGAACGTGGGAGTGCTGGGCCACATCGACAGTGGCAAGACGGCGCTGGCGCGGGCGTTGAGCACCACGGGCTCCACCGCTGCCTTCGACAAGCAGCCCCAGAGCCGCGAGCGTGGCATCACGCTCGACCTGGGTTTTTCGTGCTTCTCGGTGCCGCTACCCGCGCGTCTGCGGTCGGCAGTTCCCGCGCCCCACTCGGCGCCGGAGGCCGGGCCCGATTCCGGCGAGCCGCAGCTTCAGTTTACGCTGGTCGACTGCCCCGGGCACGCCTCCCTCATCCGGACCATCATTGGCGGTGAGCGTGGGTCGGGGCGGGAGCCGGGCTCGCGGGTGCGGGGCGGAGCGGCCCGGCTCCACTGTCGGGGAAGGGAGATCACCTCACTTAATGTAGATGAGACCACCAAGGCCCCGGGAGGCGGACGTGAGTCTTCCAAGGCCCGGCAGCAAGTGAATGGAGGCTTTGGGACTCGAACTCATGGCCGGTTGACTTGGAAGCTTTGTCCCACCCAGCACAACCGAGCAGGAAGGTACCTTCCTTAAAAAAAAAAAAAAAAGTTTTTGTGTTTTAAAAAAATCAAGTTGTGTTTACAATACACGAACAAATTGAGAAAACTGAAAGAGTACAAAAAGGGTAAAGTGCCACAAAAGGATCTCCACTCACCTGTCCTTTGGTTCCCTTGTTCCCATTTGGAGTTAATCACTATTCCCAGTTTCTTGTGTATCATTTCAGGAAAACTCATGTAAAGACAAGCATATTTGTATATCTATACCCTTCTCATTATTTTTCTTAGTGCCTTTTTTTTTTTTTTTACACAAAATGGTAGCAACATATACAATATTTTACTCAACTGTAAGGGCTCCATATCTGTGCATATAAAGCTACATCGTTCTTTTTAAAAGGTCTCATAGAAGTCCATTGTACACTGGTACAAACATTATCTTAACTCTATCTTAATGCTGGACATTTATGTCATTTCTAGCTTTTTTACTTCAGTAAATTTTTGAGAAGAGGTCTTTGATATCTGTAGGTTAAACTCTTAGAGCTGAACTGGGCAGGCTTGAGGGCATGTGTATTTTCAGTCATGTGTATTGCCAAAATGCCCTCCTAAGATGTACCATTTAGTTAATTTTTAATTGTAGAGGTAGTATATGAATATGTTTTACTTGTGAAGAACTAGAACATTACAAATCAGGCAAAAGTTCCCTAATTACCCCTCCTGTCTCTCCAGAGAAAGCCACTTGTGGATTACTTTTCCAATTCACTTTACTAAACTTAAGTCTGTGGACAGGGCTTTAACACTTGTTTTGTTTTTAGAGAAAAATGATAAAATAATACAAGCAAATGACACAGAAGGGTATATTGCTAAAAGAAGTCTCCTCGCTGCTGACCAAAGTACCTGGTTAAATTTCATTTTCCATTTCCTTGTGCTTTCTTCCAGTGATAGTCTCTATACCTACAAAGACATGTGGGAATAAATATTGGGTAGATGATTCTTTTTTTTTTAATTGAAGATGTTTACTCCTCAGTTCTACAACAGCAGCATCTTCAAAGATAAAAGGGAAGAAAAACAGTGATAAAGACATAGATTCAAAATAAATCAAAAAATTTTGAACGGTTCCAAGTGGAGAGGAGAAGGAGCAGGGGCAGCTGGAAGTGGAGCCAATGCAGGTTTCCAGCTGTCACCAGTTGCATCATCACTGGCATCTTGAAAACCTTACCGAGCAAGTCCTTCTCCTGGAACCCTCTCAACCATCAGGCAGCTGTTTTGCTGGTGCTGTAGGGCCAGGCCAATAGGGGCTGAAGGGGCTTTGCAGAGGTATGTTCTCAGGAGAACTGACTGGACCAGTTGGAGATCCCACCTTTTCCTCTGCGTGGACTCTGACATGAATCTCACGTGATCCATCTTGGGCTGGTGGTGGATGGCCTATTTAGTCCCTGAGCATGCCAAGTCCAATAATACAGTGATGAGAGTATTAAGTACTTTGATCATTGTCACTGCTTAACCTTTCCATGCGGTAGACAGTTTGAAATAATTTCCCCATTTTACAGTAGAGGAAATGGAGGCTCGAAGGGGAGAGGGGATCTGCCCAAGGTCATACTGCCTAAAGTCTTCTCCTCAAGCCATATTTCAGTCATCAGATCAATATTGAACCTATGTTGATCAGATCAATATCAGAAAAGGGATATGTGATCTTTTCTCATTAAAAAAAATGAGAATACAAGTTCTTAGTCTTTTTTAGTAAATAGTATAGGCAAGTTGTTAAGGACATACTTTTGGAGTCAGAACTGGGCTTGGGGCCTGACTTTTACGCTTACTGTTTGACCTGTGAACCTAATTCTGGACCTTCTAAACACTGGCAGACAGTAGTAACTATTGGTTTGGCCAAAAAGTCCATTTTGTTTTTTCTGTAAAATAAAAGATACATTTTTCATTTTAACTTTATTGATATTTGTTTAGTCCTATCCTCATGCTTGCTTTTTTCGTTTAACCCTCACAGCAATTCTGTGAGGTAAGACATAATATTCCCATTTTACAGATGGAAAAGCAGGGGCTTAGAGAGGTCAGAAAACACAGTTAATAAGTGTTAGAGCTCTGTTTGAACCTATGTTGTTCTGATTACACAGCCCTACTCAGGCATTCTCAATATGAATGACAAAATGTACCTGTCCCCTCCAGTCCCCTGTAGTGGTATTTCAGGGCAATATTTTTCTCTCATCTGTTTTAGAGTATAAATCTTTCACGGTTAGAACTTCAAAAAAGACTCAGTAATGTATGTTTTAAAGACTTGGGTGGGGATAAGGGACTTGGACCCATCCTTAATCTAACTCTGGCAGGAAAGAGGAGAACTGAAAAATGCTGGTATATTGGCTTGGCAATTTATATCCTCTGGTGGCTGCTAGGATTAACAGTGTATTGTCTCCTAGTTTTTTGTTCTGGTGGTTAATGAATAGCAGCCCTTCTGCCACCACTTGTTGCCCTGATCCCTTGCCTGCTGTGCTTAGCACTTAAGTGGTGCTTCCTGCGTGGCCCTCTCAGATCCCCAACCGACCGACCGCACTGATGAGAGCTGCCAAAGCCTTTTAAGTCTAACTCAGGGTTGCTCTCTTTGGAGGGAAAACAGTGGCCCCCGGGGATTTTTGTCTCTGCAGACTGGGAGAGAACATTCTTTGTAAAACAAGCTACTTCGCTTTCTCTGTTTTTTCCAGCTTCCTGAGCTCGGTGCGAATGTAGAGAAGGTGCTTGTCCCTTTATCTTGTTTTATGAAGGGATGTACCTGCAGTCTGTCTGAAATACTCTCTTTGCACCCATGAAACAGGGTTTTTGTGTGTGTTAACGAATGCTTGTTTTTAACCAGATTTTTTAAAATTGATTTTTAAAGAGAGAGAGAGAAAGGGAGAAAGAGAAACATCAATTTGTTGTTCCACTTATTTATGCATTCATTGGTTGATTCTTGTATGTGCTCTGAATGGGGATCAAATTTGCAACCTTGGCATATCGGGATAATGCTTTAACCAACTGAACTACCGGACAGGGTCTCAACTAGATTTTTTATACTAATCTTTAGTTATCTGTACATAATGCCCAGAAAGCTGCACAGCACAAGCAGTGATAACAAACTAGGAGCCTGGCTACTCAAGGAATTAGGGCATTAATCTAATGCAAAACCAGCCAACCTGGTTTTCTTTGTCCTTAGTCTTTTTCTGAATCTGTATAGAAATATGTTGTGTTACGTTTGTCTTAAAATATTGAGGCATTTAATATTGAATATTTAAAGGAGTAGATATAAGTGGAAATGCTCCATTGACTTTAACTTCTTGAGCTTTTACAATGTCAGACCTAGGTTCCCTGAGCCTTCATGCTCAACCAGGAAAAGTTGCCTTTTATTTTTTCTTCTTTGTTGAAAGATGTGCACCATAACTGAAGATCCTGCTCTCCAGTGCTACTTTTGCAACGTTCTCTATTGCCAAGGGAAGCTGAGGCAAATACTTTTTGTGTTAACTTGCTTAAAGCCTCTTTATGTTAGGCACGAAGTTGACCTCCCTCAGTGCCAAGTGTACTTCTATTCAAATACAAGTTTTCTTGTTTTTGTCTGCTACTTTATCAGTCTCTGACCCCACCTCATCTCCTTCCAGGTTGAAGTGCCTTTAGCTATCTCTAGGAGACCCAAGTTGAGCTGTGTTTGCAGCACTTTCTCCTGGAGTTGGACAGCAGGTGACTTTACGTCTGTTTGGGTGACAGTGGGGGAGCATCACAACATCAGAGATGCAGTTTTGAGTTTAAATTAATGCAGAATATTTTAGCAGAAACCAACAGGAAAGAAAAATGGAAACAGGTAGTCATATTTCATTCTGTTGGGGTACATTTTTCTTCTCATGGGGCTTGTCCTTGAGAACATAATCAAATGTTAAATCAAGAATATTTTTGTAGTCATGCTAGGAATGGAAAATAATGGAAAGACTTTGCCTTCTTAAGGCAGATACTTTTGCTAGAAGGTTATAATCAAAGTCAGAAGGAAATCATAGCCATAGCTTTTGGTAAATCTGTAATCATTTAAAATTAATTGTTTTTAAACTTCACTTAGCATCACCTTTGTTTTCTCTCAGCATTTTTCTTGGGCTTTCTTCAAAGTCATCCCATTCAGGTTGAAGTAAGATTTGAGTAGGCATCCCAGGAATCAACTCATAAATTAAGTCTTCCCCTCCCCCTCTGCTCTGTCATTCTTTGTTGGCTGGAGCCTTGGTAGGCCTTGGAGACTGTGCCAAATGAAGATGAGATTATATGTATCTCTGGTGCTTTGGGTAATCCAGAGGTCTCAGTCCTGGTGAGGTAGATGGAGCCTGACATTTCCGAGGTGGCTTCAGGGTAGAGTTGGGTGGGGAGTGGAATGAGCCATCATTGGCTGGGCTCCAGTTTTACCTCATGCCTCCACTCCTCTGCTGCAGGCTGGCTTCCACTTGTTGTTCCCATTAGCTTCACAGGGGGCATTACAGGGACAGAGACAAATCACTCTGTGGGCCAGACACATACTAAGATAGTCAATAATGTTTTTAAACATTTTTATTGAGATGTAATTCACACACCATAAATTCACCTATTTCAGGTGTATACTTCAGTGGTCTTCAGTACAGCGGTGAGCAAAAGTACGTTTACGGTTGTTTGTTAAATTTTCAGTCATCATTATCTAAAAGGTAAATCATAAGTAAGGATATGAAATAATAACAATAATAATAAAACAAATAGTACAAATATATAATGCAATAATTAATACAAAAATGAATTGTGTTTCATGTAC